CCCCCCCCCCACACACACACACAGTTATCTTTATGGGGACCTGGCATTGACTTCCATTATTTTCTACAGCCTTAACCTAACACTTTAGCAAGAAAGAGTAGAAAAAGGCAGATGCATATAAAAATGTTAATATTGTGAAAAATATCAATTTCTCTGTCAGTTCAGAGATTGAAACTTGTATATTATGTAAATGTATTACACATAGAATGAAATATTTCAAGCTGTTATTTATTATAATTTTAATGGCTAATAATGGGTAAGCTACTCTTTAAATTTAACATTTAGTAAAAAATTAGCTAAATGTAAGAACAGTGAGCTAAATAACAATAAAATGTTTGTGGAAACTTTTTAATGCTTAAAAAGTGAGTTAAATGAAATTTTTGCAACATTTTATTTTACACTTGTTGCCACATAAATAAATGTCACATTAAATAGAAGAAAATGTTAAATGATATTTAATGGGGGGTTTTCTACACCATACAAACTTGGCATTTTACCAGGTCTGTGTTTTTAGATACACTGTACATGTGGATGAGATATATTGCAGTAGATAAATAGTAATGTATTTCAAACAATTTATTTGTAAAAAAGAAACAACAGAAACAAGAACAAAACAAAAAACATGAAGAATATCTTATGCTCAACAGGTTTGTGTTTCAATCTTACATAATATTTGCTTTGATTCGCACACTTACCTTTTGATTGTTGACACTGCCGTTGCACAGCAGAAAGTATGACCCGCTGTTTTTGCTGCCAGAGTATATATTCAGCGCAGTGTTCTCAGGCAGGCCCAGTTTGTCCAACAGGACCACAGAATGTTTCACATGAAGAGATGCTTCACTTTCATCCTGCAGCAGCAGAAAAAACAATAAGGATGCTATTTCAAACTGATTCTGAACTTCTTTAAAAATTTATACAAAAAAATGTAATAAATTTAAAATTATTGATTTTAGTTGATTTGGTTTAGTACCTGAGACTTTCTGGCAGCTAATGCAGCATGTAGCTCAGAATCATCCATCTCCATGGAGATACGAGAGTTAACAGTGGCTGAGGAGACGACCAGTGACCCAAGAGCCTGCATCCTGTTCGGACTACCCCACTCCTTTTTTTACACAAGCAGGAAATGACTGAAGATTAAACACCTGATAGTTCTGATATTATGTTTTGAATAATACATACTCAAAATGTCATATCTGACATTTCATTTGGTTTTAGAAAAGCGCAACTACAGCATGCTTAAAGTGATAAATGATTTTCATGTTTTAGATCAGTGGCTCCCAACCTTTTTAGACTTGTGTACCCCCTGAGCCATTTTGTCATGCCACTAGTACCCCCTCTGTCATCCGTATTCATGATTCTCTAAAACTATACCATACAACAGCTGATTATTAAATGAGAATGATTTATTTACCCCCCTAGAATGCTTAATTCTTATGCATTTTATTCTTTTCAACTCAGATTAAACATATAGATAAATATGTTGCCTTGAAAGTGAATAAGCAATTAAATAAGGTAATGGCAGGTGCAGAAAACAGCAGCGTCCAAAATACATAAATCAAATGAGCAAATTCCATGTTTTATACTGGAATCCATTTCATGTGAATTTCATGATTCCATCTGAATTTTCTGCATTGTGGAAATCATAGGACCCTACAAATCTCTGTCCTATTTTTATTTATTTTTTACACACCTAGAATTTTTTTTCCACACACCCCTTGGGAGCCATTGGTCCATAACATACAGGTGCTGGTCATAAAATTAGAATATCATGAAAAAGTAGATTTATTTCAGTAATTCCATTTAAAAAGTGAAACTTGTATATTATATTCATACATTACATACAAACTCATATATTTCAAATGTTTATTT